TCTCCTGTCGGTGGCAGAATTGGCAGCTGACCACAGGGAGGGCTCTCGGTGGACACTGTGCATTGAACTCAGGGCCAACCTGTAACTCACCTCTGGGTTCCTTAACACAGGGGGATGACCCCAGGCCAGGCTGCTCGCAGCCCCGATCACCTGCCTCCTGGAGTGTGGGGATGAGGCCCAGGGGCTGTGGGGCTGCTCACATGGCACCCATAAAGCACGCGTCACAGCTGGCCCAGGCCCAGGGGCCATCTCCATGCCATGGCTCTGTGGCAGGGTTGGAGCTCAGGGGGTCATGATGATGCTGCCTTCATTCTGGCTTACTCCTTCAGATAGACTCTCTCTGTAATCCCTGAACAGCCCTGTAAGGTAGATGTCACCATGGTTCTCATGATCATGAGTGAAACTAAGCTCAGCGAGGACAAGGAAACTGCTAGGTCATTCACTCATCAGGACCCCAGAGGGTCTCGGTCCAGCACACTCTCCCTCAATCCACCCACAAGCTCTATTGTCCGGCTTCCCCCTTCATCTTCCTGAAGAGTGGCCATGGCATCCCCACCAGTGCCCAATGACCCCGTGCAAATCCACCAAAACAATGTCAGGTGGATCTCACAAGCCTTGACTGCAGACACCCTGGGTCRAGGCACACTTCATCTACCACAGATCAGGGCAGGAGTGGGAGGCTTCAACAGGAACATGCTCCTAATTCCAGACCCGACCTCCCCCACCTTCCAGGACATCGACCTCTGACAGCAGACAACTGAGAGACAGCTGGCGCATGGGGACTCACAGATTATTACTTTATCCCCTTTCACCTCTAGAACTTCCCCTTCCTGCTGTTAGATAGAAGCCACCAGAGATCGCCAGTCCAAGCTACCGGCCATTGCCAAGGGAGGTTGGGCTGYGGAGGCTTCTAGAAGGAGCATTAAGCACTTGCAGACAGAAGGCAAGGCCCAGGACGGGGCAGAGACTCATGGAGACACTCACTGTGAGACAGGTTTCTCCCAGGCCTGCTCTTTCCAGGGGGCCAGGACTTCAGTGCGGACCGGTCACCAGCACAGCCCAGCAACATCCCTTGAAGACCAGGACTTCAGGAAGAAAAGTGAGACTCGGGGGACTTTGATTTGGCTGAAGCTCTTCAGCTTGGTTGGAAAATAGGTAAAATTGTTTTGTACCTTTCGATAACTGGCAGGAGAAAGGCAATGTTTGGTTTTCCTCCTCTTTTTCTTCATTCCCTGAATCAAGTTACCTTGAAGCCCAAACACTTAAAACTTGAGCACTCTCATGTCACAACACCCAAACCTGCTCCCAGCCACTCACAGGCCATCATCAGAGCYGGAGCGGAGTGTCCCAGCCCTGGGAGAACACCAGAGTCACCGGGCAGACATCTGTGTCCAAGATGGAGTAGCCAGGCAGGAGCTGGGCCACAGGGTTCCTGGACACTGGCCAACAAGCTGCACAGGACCGTGACCCCTGAGAGGGGAAATGAGAGGGGGGGCCCAACAACGGTCCCCACCTGGAGCAGTCTCCACGCTCTGGAAGGGAAGCTCCAGAGACCCAGGGGCCTCTCTGAGCAGGGGTGGCAGAGACAGGAAGCAGGTGACCAAGCTTGGTGAAGAGCAAGGAACTTCAAGGAAAGATGACCAGCAGTCGACAGGGACCCAGGGGTCTTTGGATAAACTGACCTGCACCTGCTTGAGAGATAACTACCTGAAGAAACAAAGAATAAAAGCGACTAGGAAAGCGGTAGGTCAGACCATTGGACCCCACACRGAGCTGGGAAGAGTTCACGTCCCCACCAGCCCAAGTGCAGGTTGACCACGCCTGCAGCATCAGGTAGACTCCTCAGRAGGGTCACGTCTTAATAGCAGAGCTGACTTAGGCCGAGCCTCAACACCATGGATAATCCTCGGCTGGAGGGAGGGAGCTGCCCTGTGCCTTGGCAGGGTGTCCACAGCATCTCTGGTCCCCCTGCTGGAGCCAGGGGCATCTTCCCCCAAGATATCCCAACCCCAACTGCTTCCAGACACTAACAAATATCCCCTTGGCGGGGCACAGAACCATCCAGCAGTCTGACCACTGCTCTGAGTCAGACCTGCTTTGGACCTCAGCAGGACCGAGCTGTGGCCAAGAGCTTGACCTCCAGCCAGAACAAAGTTCAACACCATTCACAGGAATACCACCAAATCAAGATACAACCAAGCAGAAGTCACAGTGTATCAAATCCAATTTTAAAACTGCCTGGTCTGCAAAAGAGCAAGGCAAGACAACCCAGGTCAGGAGGAAATCCCTCAGTAGAAACAGGTATTTCAATGACAGAGACCTTGGAATGAGCAGAGGTCGACCTTGGAGAGGCATGGCCAAATCATGACCTCCAAGTACAAAAGCTTTCCCTGGTTCACCTCGAGATGAAGCGTGTTACAGGCCATCGCCTATCAGAAGAMAGATGGCCTTGGCTTGCAAGCCCCAGCCTATGCCTAGGGTCACAGCATCTCTGCAGTCAGCTCAGAGCCGCTCACCCGTTCTGGGGACACAAGCATATCACGAACTCTCCGTGGCTCCCTCCTCAAGCTGGTGAAAACGCCCGTGCTCTGCTTCCCAGGGAGCCTGGGAACATGCCCACGCTTGCCCTGGGGACAGCAGGCAGAGCTCAAGTGTGGGCCTAATCCGTGACCCAGTTATGGCTTTGTTGATGTCTGAAATTCATATGCAGAGGGAGAACTGCCCTTAGCACACCATGTTCCTGTTAGTTAGGGGCATTTTAGAGTCACTGAGAGCTGGGCTTCGCAAATATGAGCACAAGACTCCCTAGCATCTTGTCTGCTTCCCGCCCTAGCTCCCTCCTAGCAAGCAACTTTTCTCCTGGCTCCTGCTGCAGGCAGTGGAAGGAAGGAAGAGGGTGGTGGGGGAGCGTCCCTGGGCCGMAGTTACTCTGCCAGTCCCAAGTGAGAAGAGGATACTCTAGTCATTCACACCAGGCTGTGGTTTTAGAAAAACCTATCTATAGGCCTTGCTCTCAACTCCAGCAAATCCGCAGATTCTCACGGGGAGAATTTGAAATCTGTAAGGTTTTCACGGGAACAAGCCTCCCCAACTCACTTTTACTGGAAAACCTATTAGATTAAAGAAACAAGTTTATCCCAGTGAACCTGCTCCTTCCTCACCCCATGGGATACTGTGTGGTGAAGCCCAGGGCAGGTTAAGGATGGGCCTCTGAGCTATGGAAGAGGAGTCACTGGGCCAAGTCCAAGGGCAGCACCCAGAGGCTGTTAATTGGGCTCACTCATCTGTTCAGCTTGGGAAATTGAGCAAGGAGGTTTGCTTCTTCCTGGTTTCCTCAATCTAAATGCTGTTGACATGCCCCAGTGGGAATAAGAAGACTAGTTCAAAGAATATGGAATAATTTAAATTCTGAAATGTTTGCTACTAAAAGTTGAGCAAAGCTCCAAATTCAGAGGCACAGATCCCGTCCGATGGTTTTCACATGGGCCTGTCCCCGAGCCCGGAAGCAGACCCCGCAGGGACCACCTCTCACACCCTAGACAGTGAAAGCAGCCAGTGGCTGGGTCTGTTGTGGGGGAGGGGCCTGGACTCATCTCACACTGGTGGCTCCACTGTGGGCTGTGAAGGATTAAGCCACAGAAAAAAATGTAGCTGTGGCAATCAGCGTATTCCAGTATTTTACAACCTCCTTTCRAGGTGCACATCATCACCTTCAGTGTGGCCGTAATATTGAGAAAATAGATGAAGTTTATGCATGAAAAAAAGCGGGAATGCAAGACAGGTTTAAAGTASAGCCATGAACACTGTTGTAAAATGCATGAAACGATGATTCAACAAGTTTTTCCCCCCTCTGGAGGACTGAAAAATAACCTCAGTAAAAATTATAGAAAGATAAAATTCTGTCCCCATCTGATTAATTACTTGTGAATAATAACATCTCTGGTTTCTTTCAATTATATTCTAATTGCACACCTTTTGCTCTGGTTGATTGGGCAATGAAGTAATGAACAACTATTACTGAATTTAATTAACACCATTATTTCTGTGGCCTTTCCATCTCTGTTGTGAACATGGAAATTCAGACTCCCRGGGCTGGGGCTGGAAGAAGCCTGCCATGAACCCTGCTAAACCTGTTCCTTCCACATTGAGCTGGCTCCTTTCTGCCAAGCATGGGTAACAAAAGACCTGAAGTATTTGCCAGCATTCATGAGAAAGCTCTCCTAATAACAGCATCAATATTCAGAAAGGTTAGCTTTTCATAAAGCATTAGCAATTTGCATGTTGCATTTATCAAAAAGAGATGGGCAACTGAGCTACCTAGGAGTCAATTACAATGTCATTCATAATTTATTCCATGTACAATAAAGAGCTGATCAGATTTCATGTGTGTTTATTTTCTGAAGATAGTTGCTTGTGGCTGATACCAGTTGCAGAATACAAATACATTTTAGAGTAATGTGTCTATTTCACTTGGACGTTTTAAGTSTCCAAAGTTCTCCTTTTTACAACAGAGTTTCTATGCTTGGAAATGAGAGCTCACCCTCAAAAAAATAGAAGTCTATCCCAGACGCATCTCATTTTAACTGGATCAAGCAAGCCATACAGATTCTCCCAAATAACAAATCAGGAAACAAATAGGAATTTGTTTTTAAGACAGAGCTGACAGAGCTAAAAATTCCTAGCTCACAGAGTGTCCGGCAGTTTCTAAATGTGGATACGATGACCCACTGCAGAAGCCTTTGGAGAGCTATTAAATGTTTRTAAATGCAGATGATCGCCGTGTGTAAGTTACATTCATCTAATATGCACTCCCCAAACCACCACCAAGTTGCAAAAACTGGAATAAATTAAAAGATAAAAAATTCTTCTCCATATCCCCTGGGAAAGACTACAACATATGAGATTAACGTATTAGACCAGATCAACACCTGTGCTGTCCGAGGACACACCGCAGCTGCATCTCTTGGTGCGCAGACAGCTCCCCCCGAGTCCAGCCGTACCTCATATCTGCTGGCTGGCTGCTCTGCCGTCTTCAGGCCTTGACACAAGTGGATGATACAAACTTTGGCCCTTCTCTGGGAGGGAAACCAGTTACTCTTCACCAAATCCATGACCATCACATGGTTTTTCAACTCTGTGCTGAACGTCTTTATTTGAAAAGTCTGATCAGCAGCCGTTCCCGCGTGGCCAGCAGCGAGCCCCTCCCGAGGAGAGGTGCTAGGCGTCCCGGAATGCAGCATGACACTCGGAATCTTGTGACTTCAGTGAGCTGGCCCGGCAAACACAATTTTCTTTGTTTCATCCAGGTATTGAGTGCAGCAGGAGGGGTTTGGGAAGCGCCTGCTGGGGCATCTCTGCATTTCCCCTCCACAGCTGCGCTTCCGAGATCCCGTGGCGAGAGTGACCGACGTGGACGCAGAAACCTCGCAGGTGATCTTTACAGGCCACAAAAACCTTCTCAGGCTGTGATCTGACCAACTCCAGTCTCACCTCACGCCTGAGCCCTTAGGTCACTCTGTTTTCTCTGATTTCAAAGAAACATTTTTCTTTGCCGCTGCATTCAAGTTCTGAATGCAGAATTTGCCTGGTTACCAAGAGGCTCAATGTGCTTTTCCGTCTCTAGGCCCTTCAGTCCAAATAAATTATTTACAGAGCTCGGTACAAAGGAACCAGGAGGGATAATTGCAGCTTTTCAGAATTCCTACTTTTTCTGGCCAGGACTGAAAGGAAAAAGTACACACTGCCTACTGACACAAAGAGTGTCCTCAGCCCTGGAGTAGATAAGAGACACATTCAAGGCATAGAGAGAGCTCCCCGGCACACAAGAGACGGCTGCGCGTGGGCACGGGGACCCAGTGCAAGTGCAAGAGGCTGCACTAGCTCCGTGGGGCTGTGGTCCCTCCAACACGGACGGCCCCTGGCGGGCTGAGCCTCGGTTTCCCCAGGAAGAATGGCGGAATAAAAAGGCGCTGTCTGCCACCCACAGGGCTGGTGCTGAGATGTGGTGAGCTGTAAATAAGGAAAGACCCCGTGTAACAGAGTCGCCATGGACCGGGTTCTCCAGGTACGGTAGCACATATTCTGCCCAAATTATTTTGCACAGCTCTCTCGCAGCACATATCATACAGTGCCATGTGGCATGGTGGTAAAAATGATCGGAGTCTGAATTCCAAATCATTCAGAAATGYAGAGCAAGACGCACGTCCCACTTTTTATGTTGCATGTTTGGGTGCCTTATCTATCGGCTAGTATTTTAGAGGTGAAAATGAGAAGTCTGGATCAAGGGTGTGCACCAGGAGGAAGCAGATGACAAGCACTCAAATGGTTTCAACTCTTCTCTGAAGGCTACTTCCTTTTGGCTTTCTGCAAAGATGGACCCCTTGAAAACCCAATTCACCTGCCCGTATCGCAAGCCATGGGGGAGGCTGATGAAGGGCCTGGACAACTTTGCTGGAAGTGGACATGCAGATCCTTGCCCAGCACCTTACTTCTTCCTGCTGTGGGTTGGAGCTCTGCAAATCAGCTCAACTAGGACTTGGGCAATGGCAAGCTAAACCTCCACCTTCAGAGACAACAGAGAGGTTGAATCTGAGAGTAAAACATGGAAAAGATAGAGGAGACTTCAGAGGCCATTACAGCCTAGTGCTTCATCTGAGTGTGAAGAAAGACAGACCATGGAGATTAAATGTGGGCAAAATTCAGAGCGGTGTTCCCTGTTTCTTCAACAGAACACGCCCGCTTCTACCCGTGGTTCTCCTAAGGACGTCAATGCCAGTGTCAAGGCCCAGCGGGGGGCAGTTTGATGCACTAAGAGCCATGCAGGAAACTCCCCAGTGAGCTACACTGTGAGGTCCATCTTGGACTTGGAAGATGGCCAGGGAAGAAATGCGGACAATGAAGAAAATAAACAAGGACCTCAAAGAAAGAGGGACTCTGCCTCCTGTTTAGGCCTATGAGGGCCAGTGCCTGGGCCCCCAAGTCACCATCTGAACCAGTTCATGGTGGTGGCTCTGTCCCCAGAACCCTGCAGGTCTGACAGCACCACCACACCATGCTGAAGGACCCTGGGCAGGTGGAGGCCACCAGGACTGCCCACCAGCTCTCCAAGACCAGGGGGGAGAGGTTTGCTGAGGGTTGACTGACTGACTGCGAGTGAAGGCCACGTGTCACAGGCTGTCCAGAGGTTCCAGAGTCACCAAGGCTCTGGGTGACTTTTCCCTCTCCATGGACTGCAAGTGGCTGGTATTTTAACTGGCCAATGTGGCCACAAGAGGAAACTGCAGCATGGCCTTGCGAAGGCCACCAGAATTCTTGGGCTGGATAGAAGCCTTGGGATCATAAACCAACCCCCTCATACAGGGAAGAAATGGAAGCCCAGAAGGAGGGAAGTTTGGCTAAGGGGTGAGCAGGCTGGAAAGGGCCCAGATGGATAGCTGGGGATGGGTTTGCACGTAGGCCCCAGCACACTAGCATGTGGTGTGGACACRGCCTCTCCCCTCCAGCTTCAGTCCCTCTTACCCACAAACCCAYGGCCATTCTAATACTCTGGAGCTGAGGTATCTGCCCAGACCGTGAGCGGACGTTTGTCAGGAGAGAGCAGCTCCCCACCTGGGGCAGGCCCTCCTCCGGCCCAGCAGGGCGGTGCCCTCCACAGTGCACTCACTGTGCCTCTTGAAGCAGGTCTCTGAATCAGGAGAGCCGAGCTCCCTCTGGCTCTCACAGCGCCCCCTCGGGTGCCGTGCGGGCTCTCCTTGACTTGGGCTCCCTGTCCATACCCCAGGAGACGGACCTAGCTTCTGTGGTGGGCTACCGTGAGGACTCAGGAGCTGGCACAGTGCAGTGCGTGGAACAGAGCCTGGCACGGTGTCTGCCATCGCCCAAGGGGCAGAGACCTTAGAAACAATCACAGCTGGAAGCATCGTTTTGATACTTAAAATAAAAAATTGCTAAGGACAAAGAGGAACTGCCCTCATCGCCAGGACCCCCTGTGCCAGGCAGTGGCACCCAGAAGTGGGCAGGGAGCCAGCCTTGACTTCCTCAAATGAGAAGCAGAGACAGCGCCTGAGGAGACTGCTGAGGGCAGGAGGTAGCYGCTGTATGGGAAATGGTTTTATAAGTAATGTATCTTTAGAGTCTTTCAGACGCARATTTTTAATGCCAGCACCAAAATACAGCAGGGGACCCTCTTTTGCAGGAACGCACCCTGAGCTAGTTCCCACTCATAAGACCCAAAGTCAGTCTCTGAGCACGAGGGAGCCAGGCAACGCCCTGCCACTGCGACCCCTGACTCTGCTCAAGGACACGGAATACTTTGTGGTGTGCTCAGAGCCCTGTCCTTGGAACCCTCCCCTGCCTCTATCCCAACGTCCCCTAAATTCCCATGGGAGCTGGCCTATCTTACACCACTGCACGCCCCACTCACGGGCTGGAAAGGGGTAGACATCTGGCTCAAATGGGGCTAGTTAGACTCTATCCTCATGTGGCCTAGCTGTCTGCATGCCCCCAAATTCACGTATTAAAGCCCTGACCTGTGTGTGGGAGAGGGTTCTTCAGGAGGTGGTGAGGCTTAAATGAGTCCATGAGGGTGGGGCCCTCGTGATGGGATTAGTGGCCTTAGGAGAAACAGAAATCTCCTCTTACCTCCTCTCAGAAACACACGTGGAAGGCTACGTGAGGACAAGGTGAGACGGTGGCCACCAGCGAGGCAGAAACCATCATCCTTGGGGACCTACTCACCTGGTACACTGACCTCAGACTTCCAGCCTCCAAAATATGGGAAATACTCACCAAGCACTTAAACCCCAAGTCATGGCATTTTCTCACGGCAGCCCAGGCTGGCTGAGACAGTCCTGGAGGACCTTAATACYGGCTTCACTTGACTGACCTAGGGAGGGACACCCAGCCCACAGGGGGCCAATCCAAGGCTCTCCTGGAGCACCTGGATCCCAGGACTGCACAGGTATGGGAGGCCGGCTCCATGAGATGGCACGTGTTGGGGACTGTTGGTGCAGGTGGCAGCTGTCACAGAGAGGCAGCAGTCAGAGATGGGAGCATTAATGGTGCCAAAGCCCTGGCTCCTGCCCAACCTCATCCTGTCTGGGGTTCATGAGAGATCCTGGTGCTTGATGAGCCTTTCCCCATAAGACGTAAGTGACTTGACTGGGGTTCTACACTCGCAACAAGAGAGCGTGGCTATTCTTTGAAAACCCACAYATTAAAAGGATACAGAGTGCTTCTGTGCCAGGCCATGGCAGGTGACAGAGACCTAGCGATGAAAGGGGCCCTCCATATCCATGAGGTTCACTGCTCTGCAGTGGGACCGAGGCCTTGGCCAGCAGCCAGCACAGGAGCAGGTGCACCCCTGCGAAGGAGGCCCCAAGAACCCCTAGGAGAAGGGACATGGCGAGGGATCTGGACTGGAGACTGGCTGGCAGCTGAACTCTACGGTTGGCATTGCAGGGCCAAAGTCAACTCTAGACATCCCCCTCCACTCTCGTCACACATCTCGTCCTAAAGCATTCACGGCTGAGGATGGGGAGGCCGAAGTTACTGCTTGTTGCAAACAACTTCCTGGGTCCTCTGCTGTTCTTTTTCTAAAACAAGTAACTCAGTCAACTATAAAAGTGAGACCTCTGATCTTGTGAACATCCCGTAGATGTTACCATTTAATTTCCTTTAAACTRGTCCCTGGGGTGACAGGCGGAAACTAGCATGGTCCGTGATTACCATCCAATGACACCAAATCTACACCAGTGCACCTTGAAATGTGTTTACTGCTGAAATACACGGAGAATGAGTCCATCCCTCCCCCTTGCTCCTGGTACAACACGCGGGGCTGAAGGATAGGCATTGAAGTATTTAAATAATGAATTATTCAAAAAGAAAAGGAACTGCAGGTACCTGATGCCAGAAATTCATGCCTGTGAATTCTTAATCTGTTCTCCAATGGGATTAGCATTTACGACTGTGAAGGATGTCCTAATTATGCAGCTTCAGAGTTGATTTTCTGCAGGGCCTACGCACATCTAAAAAGCATTAGGCAACAATAAAAACAGATGACTATGAATTTCGGAATTCATAATTTAGTTTCCCTTTTGGGGGGAAATGACATTTTTATTTATGGGCACTTCACTCATCAGGTGGCTCCTGAAGTTCTTCTTCCTCCGAGGCCCCCTGCTCACGGCCCGTGCATCTGATCACCCTTGTGAGGAAACAGACACGGAGGCGATCCAGGCTGCAG